CCGATTTGCCTATTCTGGACATTTCACATAAATAGAATAAAAAATATGTGGCTTTTGTATCGGGCTTCTTTAGTTAAGCATAATCTTTTCAAGGTTCATCCCTGTGAAAGCAAAATCAGTACTCTATAATCTTTATGGTTAATATTCTAATAAATGGATCTGCTGTATTTTATCCACTTATCAGTTGATGGACATTAGTTTCTAGTTTTTGACTATTGTTAAAAATGGGCTGGGTGCGGTGGCTCACGCCTATAATCCTAGCACTTTGGGAGGCCGAGACAGGTGGATCACGAGGTCAAGAGATCAAGACCATCCTGGTCAACATGGTGAAACCCCGTCTCTACTAAAAATACAAAAATTAGCTGGGCATGGTGGCGCATGCCTGTAGTCCCAGCTACTTGGGAGGCTGAGGCTAGAGAATTGCTTGAACACAGGAGACGGAGTTTGTGGTGAGCCGAGATCGTGCCATTGTACTCCAGCCTGGGTAACTCCATCTCAAAAAAAAAAAAAAAAAAAAAAAAATGCTGCTGTGAACATTCATATACAAGTTATTCTGTGGACATCTGTTTTCAGTTCTGTTGGGTACCGCCTAGGAGTGGAATTGCTGGGTCCTGTGGTGACCCTGTGTTTAGTCACATTTGTGGAACTGCCAGATGGTTTTCTGAAGGAGCTGCACCATTTGCTTTTCCAGGCCACAATGTATGAGGGTTCTAATTTCTTTGCATCCTTGTTCTCTGTTTTCCAAAACGTTTCATAGATTTACTTTTTACGTTTAAGTCTGTAATCTATTTTGAATTAAGTTTTTATAAGGTGCGAGACTGAAATAGAATTTCTTTTTTAAAAAAATCTGTGGATATCTAATTGCTCCCTCATTATTTGTTAAAAAGACTCTTTCTTCCATTGAATTATTTTTGTACCTTTGTCAAAATTCAGTTGAATATATTTGTGTGGATCCATTTCTTGGTTCTCCATTCTGTTCCATTGATTTGTGTCTACCCTACTGCCCATACCATGGTCTCTATCACTGTGGCTAACTAGTAAGTCTTGTAATCTATTAAACAAATCTCTCCTATTTTATTCTTCTTTCCCAAAGTAATTTTAGCTCTTCTAGATCTTTTTCCTTTCCATACACATTTAGAATAATCTTGTGTGCATCTATACAAAATCTTGTTGAGATTTCGATAGGAACTGCATTAAACCTGAATATAACTTTGGGGAGAATTGATATCCTTTGGCTAGAGAGAAAGCAGAACTTTTGTTGGGGCCTTCTTTTGTCCGTGCCTGTTGATGTTTCCAGGGTGCTGACTTATTTAGCTCTAAGTATGGAATAAGAATGCAGTCAAGAAGGAAACCCAGAGGGAAATCTCCATGATGTTATTTCTTAGGTCTTGAGGTTCCTGGCTGGTCTACCTTCTCATCTCTATCTTTCAAAGCCTTCTTATATTTGTTTTATATATTATGTCTAGAGTTTTTGGTTGTACTTAGCAAGAGAAATAGGAAGTACATCTACTTCATCTTCCCCGAAGTGGAACTTGCACCTTCCTTTTTAACTTCACAATAGATGTTAGAGATTATTTCATATTAATCCATAAATTGTATACTTAATCTTTTGTTTAAATCATTGCATTATATTTCACTTTTTGCATGTACCATAGTTTTTGAATCAGTCTCCTCCCAATGAGCATTTAGGTTGTTTCAATCTTTTGCTCTTATAAACAGTGCTTCAGTGGATAACTTCGTATTTTTGTATCAGTTAGCATGTGTGCCAGTATAGCTAAAAGAGAACTTCCTAAGAGTAGAACTCCTAGGTCAAAGGATATGTGCATTTTACATTTTGATAGATAATAATACATGGCTTTCATAGAGATTGCCTGTCAATCGGGATCGCTGTGAATGTTGCCTGTATAGGCAGAACTCCTGGTCCTATGAGACAGTTAGAGCTGGAGTCTTGAAGGATAATTTGAAGCATCAGATCTCAGTATGCAGCTTTTGGTGTTATCTGTATGGCACCTTTTAGCATTTCTTGAACCATTTTTCATATACTATTATGGAAAATATTTATTCTGATCAGGAACTCAACCTTTTAGAAATTTTTGAATAGCTGCTATGTAGGATATGTCTGATATCAGGCTTAATAATACCTCATTTTACTCAAGTAAACTGTATTTTCTTCACAAGATTTCTATGGATGTTAAATTCTCATTTGAGTCTGAATTATGCTCTTGTGGCTGCTGATGTTAAGCAGTACATTAATTAAACAATTTCTTTTAATTTACTGGGTCATTCAAATTCATAGACATTTCATTTGATTTGAACAATAACTTGTTCACAAGTTTATTGTTATGATTTCCAGCTCAAGATTCTCCAAGGGATTTTTCTTTTTCTCGTTAAATAAACAAGTGATGTATAAGCTGTGAATTTTCTTAAAATGCAGTCTTGCTGTATATATATATAATGGATACATTTAGTACATATTTATCTTTGTACATATTTCTCTTTTCCTGAGTTGGTAAATACTTCTAATTCACTTAAGTTTGAAAGCTTTGCTTCATGACCCAAGTACTTTTGGGCCATGAACACAGTTGTGACGAAGTAACAAGAAATATTTGGTGTGTAATTGCTGGAGGACAAGTTAGGGGTGGTTTGTGTTCTTTATCTGCATAGAATTCTAATTCTGATGGAATGTCCTCTTCTTCAGAGCTGATATTTAGCACCCTCTCAGACAGCCTTTGGCAAAAGATAGCCACAGTTTCCAACTCCAGTGCCCTTCTGCTCACATTCCTAATCTTTGGAGCTCCTTCCCAGTGTCACCTGCAGACCTGTCACCACTGGCCATCCGGTTGGCCCTCCAGTCAGCCCTCCAGTCCTGCCAGGCTCTCCTCATAGCCTAACAAAGGGAAGACCACCTGCTGCATTTGCTATAATGGTTACTAATTATGTAATGGATTTATATCATGGTATACATGTAAACCTCTTTTAAAAATGTTATATGCAGTTAATTTCAGTTAATAGTAGGAATTGTTTTTCTTTTGTAAATTTATATGCTATAATTTGGGAACTCATCTCAGTGACTAAGATTTTCCTTCCAAAGTAGCTTTCATGGGTGCTATTTAAAGATATCTGAATGACAACATCATAAAAGTACTGTAGTCCCCTCTTTCACCAAGGGATCCTTCCAAGACCCCCACTGGGTACCTGAGACTGTGGATAGTACTGAATCCTATATATATGCTGTGTTTTTCCTCTATATTCATGCCTCTGATAAGGTTTAATTTGTATAGTAGGTACAATAAGATATTAAAAACAATACTTAATCAGAGGAGATACAAAGATAATATGGCAACATCACTGCTCTTGTACTTTAGGAATGTTCCTAAGTAAAATAAGGGTGACTTGAATTCAATCACTGTGATACTGCAATGGTTAATCTGATGACTGGGGTGGCTACTAAGTAACTAACAAGGCAGGAAGTAGACACAGTGTGGAGATGATGGATGGGGGATGGGTCACGTCCAGGGGTTATGGAGTGGGATGGTACAAGATTTCATTATAATACTCAGAACAGCATGCAACTTAAAAGTTATGAATTTTTTATTTAATATTTTTGGACAGTGGTTGACTGTGGGTAACTGAGACTGTGGAAGGTAAAAGTGTGGATAAGTGAGGACCATGGTATTAGTACATAGCTTTTCTCTTATTATATCACTTGATGGAATTAATGGTTAATTGGAATGATTTTTGAATTAAAATATTAGTTTCATATTTTATTGGATCATACTCTGAAATGTTTAAATTACAGTTTAATGATACATTCCCCTCCTTCAACCATGGAAAAAAGTTACCAAGTATTTACATATAATTCATTTAGTATGATTTCCTCTTTTTTTAAGAAAAGTCTTTTCCTTGCATTTAAAATGTAAACATTTTCCTATTTCTTTCTTTCTGTCCTCAAATCCACTGTGGGTGATAACCGTTTTTGCTGACACACAGCTTTATCAGGTATGACTCCTAAGTGTCGTGTTGGACTTCACGGATGTGTTGTTGAATTTTTCAAAGGAAGAACTTTCCACACTGACCTTCTACATTCCCTTGATCAGTATTTAGGAGTGTTTTATGATCATCGCTGAGCTTTAAGGTCTAGAGTGCTCTTTGTATTCAAAACAAGTTTGCCACATGTATTACACCTGTATTTCAGAAATAAATTGTGTTTTCTTCAAACATGTGATTGTTGTATGTCGCTGGCTTTCTGAGTTTTTAATCTGTGTATAATTCTCTATGTTTTCTTATTTTATATGTATGTGTTTGTATACACATCTGTGTTATTCCTAACATACATGTTTTTAAAAGCAGATACATGTTCTTAACCAGAACTTTTCTAAGCAGATACATATTCCTAACCAGACTGTTTTCAAACTGTGTTCATGAAATATATTAATCTGAGATGCTAAGCAGAGTGGCATAAAAATGTTTACCAGTAAGTTTATTATATTTCCCCTTGAGCAATTCACAATGCACATTAGCATATTAAAGGTTCTGGTTCCATGCAGTAAAGAAATTGTTTATCTTTGTTTATCTCAGCATCTTGAAGAAATATTTGAGTTCAAAACACTTCAGAATACACGGGGTGTTGTAGGCCTGCTGATTTGTGAAATGCTGTAAGACATTGAGTAAGGTTTTCTTTGTAGTGTTTTAAGACATCAAATAAAATTGACTGCAAGTGATTAAATTTTCAAGAGGTTAAAGCATTTAGCTGAATTGTATTTTGAGAGAGTATTTTCTCATAGAAATTACATTTTGAAATACAGCATTGATTTTTTTCCCCCATAGTATGATCTTTTTCAATATTTTTGATGGTCTTTAAAAAGAATTTGTGAGACTAAAAATTCTGCCATTTTGTGGAAGGAGGATTTTAAAAATTTTGTTACTGTCATTGCTTTCTTGATTGTTTCTCTTCTATAAGAATTTGCCTTTATCTTTGAAAAACATGTTTACTATTTCAGAGAGTGTGACACAGGAAAGGAGGCCTCCCAAACCTGCCTTTATGTCAAGAGGTGTTGGGGACAAAGGTTCATCCAGTCATAATAAACCAAAGGCTACAGGTATGGATTAATAGCATACAACCTTTAGTAATTTACATATTGCTGAATTTGCCATCACAATAAAAAAGGTTATAAGCTATTACTTCTTAACATGTGTGTAGACTTTTTGCCTTCAAATATTTTTAGTAGTGAAACTAAAGCTTTTATAGAAATATTGTTGCTTAAGCCAAGTGTCCCCAGCCTTTTTCACCTCATGAAGAGTTCCCCATAAAGGACCTGTGTGTTTTGCTAGTCTATAATCAACTGGTTTTTGGAACTCCTTACTTGGAATATTTGTATATATAGTTTAAGATTGCAACTGTGTAAAATAATCCTATATGGATAATGTTATATAGGATAAAGTATACTAGAGATTAATTAAATGGTTTTACTAACTAGATGTGGCACAAATTAAATCCCAAACTGCTAAGCAAAACTTTCTTCTGTTTCCCAGAAGCTTCTTCAATATATGCAGGGCTCCCCAGCTCTTTTTTGTTAGCTTCCACATACTTCATAGATTTATAGAATGGTAGTTATACAAGCCAAACAGCTCGTTAAAAAGCTCTAAGAAATTTTGTTAACTCAGATGTGAGTTAGGAGAAGAATATTTTTTCCTCAATTATGACAATTTTGGTTTATTTAAAAGGAAATTGTACTTTAAGAATTATTTTATGTGACAGTGGGGCCTGGGAGACTTAGGATTAGTTGCAGGATATATAGGTAATAGTCTTTTTTATGTTAACCTATAGATCTATATGGGATAGCTCAAACGTGCTGCTTTCACTTAAAGAGAAATAGACTAAAGATTTTCTTAAGATATGGCATGTTAATTGTATTGTAGCAGATCTTAAAGTTATAAAATGTACAGCTACCTGCTTTAATTTGAAAAGGAAAATCCACTTTTTTGTGGGTTCTGGAGAGCCCACTGGCCCCACCGTGACATGTCTTCTAATTAATGCTGAGGCAGGGTAATGTCTTGAAATGGCTGTGACATAACTACACTCACCCTCTCACATAAAATAAATCCAATCTATGAGAAATAAAAATGCTTGATTTTTCTCTGAGACACGAGGAATTTGACTACCAACAATTCCAAATGTTTAAAACTTAACTATTTTTAACATAATTTGTGTATTGATTTATATACAGCATTTGAAGATTACATTCTTTTCAAATGAACTGTTTTAAAATAATAGGTTAAATTTGTGAACCAGTGGGTCTGTAGAATGAAGCTGGGGAATCGTGATTTTGACTTAGAAATAAGCTGCAGTACATGGAACAATTTCTTAAAGCAATTCATTAAAAAAAAAGAGTAGGCTTTTCTTTTAACTTTCTCCTGTTACCCTCCTATATTGACTTTTGGGCCCAAGGATGTTATCAATATTGCCAAAATGGTCACCGAATTTTTAAAAGCCAAAGGCAATTACAAAACATATTGTTTTTATATATGGTTATTGATTATGTAAACAGTTGTTAACATCGTACTCATTCATTTTTCTTACTAAAAAAAAAAAAACCTTGACACTATGTTGACTTTACTTTTAAATGAAACTTTTCTTGTTCTATAGGATCTACCTCAGACCCTGGAAATAGAAACAGATCTGAATTATTTTATACCTTAAATGGGTCTTCTGTTGACTCACAACCACAATCCAAATCAAAAAATGCATGGTACATTGATGAAGGTAATCTGTAATTTTAGCGTTCTTTATAATGATCCTCTTTTTAACTCATCATAGGAAAATGGCTCTTTTTTTAATAGCAATATCTATACTTTTTGGAAACAGAATGAATAAGCCACAATATTTAGTTTGTAATATTGCTCAACTAAAATATTGTACACAGTTTGAATTGTACTACTGTTAAGATTATTAAAATGTTTAACAAATGTATTAGTAGTTTGTTCTTTTCCTTTAACTGATCTGTTTAGGGTGGAAAATTTCTGTCTGGTTCTTTCTTGACCTCTTTAAAGCATTCCTTTTAAAAAAAAAATTATCTTCCCTTGTTTCTGGGACATCATTTTCTCCTAGTTTATTCTCTTTTTTTGTTCATTTGTTCAACAAATATTTATTGAGTGCTTATGATGTGCCAGGCATTCTTTTAGGCATCAAGATGAAAATGGTGAGAAAAAATAGACACAGTTTGTGCCCCTTGTGAGTTTGCAGTTGTTATGTTGTTGAGATAGAAATTAAACAACCACAGGCACAGAAGTAGAGTTGCCTTGGTGATGTGTGCAGTGAAGGTACATGACGCCGTGATAATACGCCAAAGGTGATTTTTCTTAGGGTCTTGGGGATGTTTCTTTGGGACAGTGACACATGCTTAGGTTTACCAGAAGAGTGACAGGTGACAAAGTGAAAGGGGCCAGAAGAACTTCCTCAGGAGGAGAAATAGCATATGGAAAGTACTCATGGGAGAATGAGTTGTACCCTGAGTTCATATTTAGCTTTTGTTTTTTTTTGAAGTAAACAATTAAGTCTATAAAATTTCCTTATAAGTATTAATTTAGCCATGTTGCATAAGGATTCTTTCTTTGTTTCTTTTTCTCTGTTTTTTATTTATTGTTAAAACTTGCTATTTCTTTTTTGATCCATTAGTTATTTAGAAATGTTTCTTAAGGTTTTTGGTATCTTTTTATACTGCTTTCTCAATTAATTGTGTTTGGGACAAAGAGTATCACCTATACAATACCCACTGATAATATATTGATTTTTTTGGTTTGAACAGTTGGGTGCCATTGACTGAGGTGCATAGATCTGGAGGTGGAGAGAGAAGAGAGAGCACTGTTGGAGATGTTAACTTTGTGATGCCTATGAGAATACTAGGAATAGTAGGGAGGCCGGGGGGCGGGTAGTTGGACTAGATCTATATATTAATTTTTAGAAATGTAAGACAGAGTCGATATTCCTGAATGCGTTTCTCTAATTAGGAATATTTTTTTAGTTGCAGAGGACCCTGCAAAATCTCTTACAGAGGTATCTACAGACTTTGACCGTTCTTCACCACCACTCCAGCCTCCTCCTGTGAACGCACTGTCCACCGAGAACAGATTCCATTCTCTACCATTCAGTCTGACAAAGGTGCCCAACAGCAATGGAAGTATTGGCCACAGTCCACTTTCTCTGTCAGCACAGTCTGTGATGGAAGAGCTAAACACTGCACCTGTCCAGGAGAGTCCACCCTTGGCCATGCCTCCTGGGAACTCACATGGTCTAGAAGTGGGCTCATTGGCTGAAGTTAAAGAGAACCCACCTTTCTATGGGGTAATCCGTTGGATCGGTCAGCCACCAGGACTGAATGAAGTACTCGCTGGACTGGAACTGGTAATTTAACTTGATCCAAAAATTGCAATTTTTTTCTATATGAGGTTTTGTGCCGATTTCCCCCTATTATATGCTTTTTGGTAAACTGCTGTATTTGTCGGAAAAGCTATCACTGCAGAAGAATTTTCTTACCATGTTGCCTGACTTCCCTTTGCCACCCCTGAAGCTTGTGACCCACTTGTCCTAATATTAGTTGATTTACATTCAAAAAATAAAAGCTGATTTTTCGGCCGATCTATTTAGGCTTCTTATATTAAACAAAATTCATTAAATCAAGCAAATTTGCCATCAGCCTTTCTCTTTCTTCTTCAGCCCCTTCTCCTGGTCATTTCTCACAATTACATCATCATTGGCTTTAAAATTAATCACCATTTTTAGAGATCTTTTGAGACCTTTGCTAGAGGGAAAGGATTTCCCTTTAGAGATCAGGAGAACATATTGTTTGATATTTTGTAAACAGGAGAGGAGAACTTGAGTACACTTAGCATTTATTTATTTATTTAGAGATAGGGTCTCACGCTATCACCCAGACTGGAGTGCAGTAGCACGATCAGGGCTCACTGCAGCCTCGACCTCCCAGGCTCAAGTGATTATCCCGCCTCAGCCACCTGAGTAGCTGGGATTACAAACATTTACCACCATGCTCGGCTAATTTTTTGTGTTTTTAGTAGAGACAGGGTTTCGCCATGATGCCCAGGCTGGTCTCAAACTCCTGGACTCAAGTAATCTGCCACCTTGGCCTCCCAAAGTGCTGGGATGACAGGGATGAACCACCGCATATGGCCAATTTAAATATACTTATTTTTTTTTTCCTGTTTGTTTCCATGCTAGTGAATGCTATCTTGTGGGGAATGGGGGTGAGGTGAGAATGCAGGTTGTTAGCATAAATAGGCTTCTCCTTCCCTGCCTGTTTTAATGCTTATAGAAATGGTGCAGAAAAGGCCATTAACCAGGGGAGGCTGAAGTGTATATTCTGAAGGGAAATATAGAAAGGAATTCATGTGGGATTAAGGAATTCACTTTTTAAATCATTAGCTGTCGGCTGAAGCACTGATTACTGAACTCCTTTATCTTGATGAGGTTCCCAGTACAGGTGTGAAGAGGGAATGGTGAGAAAGAGTACACTAGAAACAGGTCTTAGTAACCTTAGCTCTTTGTATACGGTCTCTGCAAGGTGTGGTATAATGCATATCGGAGCATTTCTTTTTCAGGAAGATGAATGTGCAGGCTGTACCGATGGAACCTTCAGAGGCACTCGGTATTTCACCTGTGCTCTGAAGAAGGCGCTGTTTGTTAAACTGAAGAGCTGCAGGCCTGACTCTCGGTTTGCATCACTGCAGCCGGTTTCCAATCAGATCGAGCGCTGTAACTCTTTAGGTATTTGGATGCTTTTCATTTACTTAACAACCTGGAATGACTCTAATTCTAATCTCATATCATGTTATATTAGGTAATGGCGACAGTGTTTTAATATTTTTCTTGCCAATGCTCATTAAGCTTTAAATCAGTAAAAATTGTTGCGTGGTATATAAGAAAGTTGTTTTAAGAGGGGACATCTTAAAAAAGTATTAGGAAGAGCATTTGAGACTTACAAAGTGAATAATAGTGTGATTTGTTTTTCTCTTCCTGTTGATTACATTTGGTTTTCAGCAATACCAGTGGTAGAAATTGAAATGTGATCTTTTTTTTTTTTTTTTTTTTTTCTGACTTCCCTCACATTGTCTTGTTTAAGTACAGCAGTGAGTGCATCTTACAAAGAAATCAGCATTAGTGTAAGAAGTAAATTTCAACTGAGTGCTCTCCTGTAATTGGGGCAGGTTCCTGGTGCTGTTTCTTTCCATTGTTGGATAATAGTGGAAAAGCATCTTGGGGCTTTAGCAGGTGCAAACAGGAAAGCCATCTTCATGAAAAACACTTTTTATTATGTTGAAATAGTCCTTTGGAATTTTCATTTTCTTTTCAAACTTGAAAATGAAGCATCTTCAGATAAACACTGAAATATTTGGGAAAAATATTTCATTTGACAGGTGCTTTTTACACATAATACTCTAAAATGTGTTTTTAAATTGTGGAGGAAGTGAAGTTGAAAATGAACAATAGCAATTTTTATGAATAGCAGTTACCCAAAACCTACTTTTTACTTAAAGTTAAGAAACAAATTTTGCATCAAAATACAAAAACATTTTAAAATGAAAAAAATATTTATGAGAATACATACTGTAATAGTTTAAAAGAATTATTTTCATTTGCTTTTTTTTTTTTTAATCTTTTCAGCATTTGGAGGCTACTTAAGTGAAGTAGTAGAAGAAAATACTCCTCCCAAAATGGAAAAAGAAGGCTTGGAGATAATGATTGGGAAGAAGAAAGGCATTCAGGGTCATTACAATTCTTGTTACTTAGACTCAACTTTATTCTGGTAAGTTTAAAATGCCATAAGGGCAGGGACACATATGGGTATGTGTTTGTGTGTATGTGTTTGTGAAAGAAACTGCCAGCTGCTTCTGAGTAGAGAAACTGGATGATCATGGGTCAGGATAGAAAGGGAGATTTGTTTTTCATGACATGCTCTTTGGAAGCTTTTGAATGTTGTCTTATGTTTCTGTATCCAAAAAGTTAATATAAAAAGTAACTGAATAATGAATAAGAGGTGAATGATATTGTTACAAATGGAATAGATATACTGAGAGTATCTGGGAAATCTCTCCACACATATCAAATAACATAACTTGCAGTGAAGCCACTGGCTGCTGTGTGCTGTATTTATTTGAGTAGGTAAAGGTAGTCATAAAACTACTGTCTTTTAAAAAAACCTATTTTCAGTAGCAGCACTGCTGCCCTCCAAAGTGGAACAACTTAACATTGCAAGATTTTTTTTTTTTTTTTCTGGCACCCAGGCTGGAGTGCAGTGGCATGATCTGTGCTCACTGCAACCTCCACCTCCCAGGTTCAAGCAATTCTCTTGACTCAACCTCTTGAGTGCCTGAGATTACAGGCATGTGCTATGACTCCTGGCTAATTTTTTTTTTTTTTTTTTTTTTTTTTTTTTTTTTTTTTTTGTATTTTCAGTAGAGACAGGATTTCACCATGTTGGCCATGCTGGTCTTGAACTTGTGACCTCAAATGATCCACCTGCCTCAGCCTGTCAATGTGCTTGGGATTATAGGCGTGAGCCACCATGCCCGGCCTTAACATTGCAAGGATATTTAAGCTCTAGAGAGTGAACCAAGGATCTTTAGGCTCTGAGGACGGTAGACTGAGTTAAATTGAGAGCAGCCTGCCAGTTCTGTAGCTATATGATAAGAATTAGGAAGTTAACTTGGGATGCTAACATTTTTAAAGTAGGGAGAAGAATAAACTGGTGGCCATTTTATTTGCAGAATGCTTTGGCAAAAACAAGCCTTATAGTATTGATATAATACTCTTTAGATTTCCTGATAAAAATCTGTATTAGCCAAATTTTCTTTTTATTTGATACCAGCAAATTACTGCTATTAGTCACTCATTTTATTTAATTTTTTTTTTGAGATGGAGTCTTTTTCTGTTGCCCAGGGTGGAGTGCAGTGGTGTGATCTCGGCTCACTGTAACCTTTGCCTCCCGGGTTCAAGTGATTTTCCTGTCTCAGCCTCCTAAGTAGCTGGGACTTCAGGCACATGCCACCACGCCCAGCTGATTTTTCATATTTTTAATAGAGACAGGATTTCACCCTATTGGTCAGGCTGGTCTCTAACTCCTGACCTCAAGTGATCCACCCACCTAGGCCTCCCAAAGTGCTGGGTTTATAGGCGTGAACCACTGCACCCGGCCTGTTACTCACTTATAAGTGATTTTAGCATTTAGAGAAATTTATTAATGTAATAGATCTTTGTAAAGGGGCACTGAGTGGTGCTAGCCTCGGGAAGTTGTCTCCAAATGCTCTCCTCTGTTGTCTGTTTGTAATTTGACTGGGATTTTTAGTTCCTCTTTCAACTCGTGCAAAGAAGTTTTCTTTCTTAATATTCTGTGGGCATGTTATTATCCTTTAATCATGTTGATCTGCAGTTTGCTTTCTCAGTATTTGTTTGTTAGCATTGTCCTTAAGCTGGAAGGATCTCAAGGTCCTGATGATTGAACCGTGGGTATCTTCACAGGGGTCCTAGTACCTGTGTTAATAAAAAACACAAATTGTTATGTTATTTGTTGTCTAGACTTCACTTATTTTCCTCTTCTCATTCTTTTAAAAATCTGTTTCTTGGCCGGGCGTGGTGGCTCAGGCCTGTAATCCCGGCACTTTGGGAGGCCGAGGCGGGTGGATCACGAGGTCAAGAGATCGAGACCGTCCTGGTCAACGTGGTGAAACCCCGTCTCCACTAAAAATACAAAAAAAAAAAAAAGTAGTTGGGCATGGTGGCACCTGCCTGTAATCCCAGCTACTCAGGAGGCTGAGGCAGGAGAATTGCCTGAACCCAGGAGGTGGAGGTTGCGGTGAGCCGAGATCGCGCCATTGCACTCCAGCCTGGGTAACGAGAGTGAAACTCCATCTCAAAAAAAAAAAAAAAAAAAATCTGTTTCTTGAAAAATATGTTTACAGCGTGAAGAAAAATATTCTTTTTCTTTTGCAGCTTATTTGCTTTTAGTTCTGTTCTGGACACTGTGTTACTTAGACCCAAAGAAAAGAATGATGTGGAATATTATAGTGAAACCCAAGAGCTGCTGAGGACGGAAATTGTTAATCCTCTGAGAATGTAAGAAGACATATTGCTCTTTTACCTTTAAATGGTGTCCTATTTGCTGTTTTCTGGCACAGTAATTAATTTATACCCTGTCTTCATATAATAAGAGATGGATGAAAATTAGTTTGCATGGTAAAATGAAAACTACATAAATTACATTTTTAAACCTTTTGGTCCTTTGTATTTTTTTCCTTATTTAATTTCTTAAATCTGGCCAAGGTGTAGAACATAGCATCTTCCATGAAATGACTTAAACCATTTTGCTGGAGTAAACTATAGTTTAGCTATTGCAGTAGGTTTAGGAAAGCTGATACATAATCCTTAGGATTCTTATCTTTTAAAATAGTTTATTCCGACACTTCCGCTACCAGTAATCATGCTTACTAGTCAAACTGGCATAGTCTAGCTTCTTAAATCTGAAAGAAAAGGAACAAGTGAAGTTCTGTACAGAATAGCTAGTATTTAATCGTTTTGTACTAGCAACAGATGAGATGTATTTTAGCACCATATGTCTTGGTTAAAGGAATATATCTGGCCTCTTTCCACCTGTCTTAAAAAGGTGACTCTTTTTCCATTTCCTATTTTAGGAATTATAAATTTGTCTTTGTATGGCCACAGGAAGCAGTTTGTAATGGTACAAACACAAGTGACAGGAGGTACCTAGTGAAGACTTTGAATAAGTGGTAGTGATCTGTGATGATGTCACATTACAAAATTTAAACTATGAAGAGTTAGGAACGTAGATCATAAAACAGATTTGTTCATTCAGGAATATAGAGAGAAAGTGATATAAAGTCCACATAAGATAAATTTGATTTCTTTTATATACTTTTCTTATTTATCAATTAAAGTAAAAAATAGTTTGATATCAAATTTGAACCAAAAAAGCAGAATACTGAAATACAATGAGCATTCCAAATTATCTGCTTTCTGAAGTAAATGCTTTAATTTCTCAAGCAAATATTATTTAAAAACTCAGTCACCACAAACTTAAAAAATGTTTTTTTTCATATTAGTCTATGACAATTTCTTGTAAGGCATATAATAGAGTCTAGGATGATTCTGGTTCTAGGTCTTTAATTTTTCAAACTTCAAGAAAAAGCTTGTAATTGTTTTCTTCAAAACAATTGTCTAACCTATTGATTTATGACATATTGGAGTTGTGTAAGAAATGTGTTAGCCAGGTGTGGTGGCTCACACCTGTAATCCCACCACTTTGGGAGGCTGAGGTGGGCAGATCACTTGAGGCCAGGAATTCAAGACCAGCATGGCCAACATGGTGAAACCCTGTCTCTGCTAAAAATAGAAAAATTAGCTGGACATGGTGGTGCATGCCTATAATCCCAGCCATTTTGGTGGCTGAGGCATGAGAATCTCTTGAGCCTGGGAGGTGAAGGTTGCAGTGAGCCAAGATCAGGCCACTGCACCACTCCAGCATGAGTGACAGAGTGAGACTCTGTCTTTAAAAAGAAAAAGAAAAAGAAAAAGAAAATATGTGGTTAAGATGTGTTATATAATTTAATACATGCCAATATCAATTAATAGTTTTTTACTAACATAGATATGGATATGTGTGTGCCACAAAGATTATGAAACTGAGGAAAATACTTGAAAAGGTGGAGGCTGCGTCAGGATTTACCTCTGAAGAAAAAGGTGACCATCTTAACTTATATGCCTTAAAAATAACTGAAGAGCACATTCACACACCAAAGTATTAGTTGAAACGTGTGTCTGCGTAGTCGGGGGGTTTTATTTTAAATTAGAAATGTTTTTCTATGTGATATATGGTTATCTTCCCATTTTGTAAATTCTTCCTCTCTTCTAAAAGTGATTGATGATGTGTAAGAATGAACCCCTTTGGCCCAGAAGCTGCTGCTTCAGTGTGTGGGGTGGAGGAAGGAGACTGGGTCCACAGTGACAGGTTATTGCTGACCTCTTCAGTGTTGAGGAAAAAGGCCACGAGACCCTCGTGGGGCCAGCCCTGAGTGCTCCTCTCCCAAGTTTAAGGCAGGGAGGGGGAAGTAACTGTCCAGCCCTTTTAGCCCCCAGCTCTGGAGTGGCAGACAGCAATGAGGCCACGTCCCTGGAGCTGGCCGGGGGAAGTAGGTGAGGAACGGAAGCGTGGTCCCTGTAGACCAGCTATGGGGAGGGGAGGGCCAGTCCCCTGCTCAGTCCTGACCACATAAGCCTTGGTCACAGGTGTAGGTGGAGAGGGCACTGATGGACACTGCCCAAGGCGTAGTCCTGAGGCACTTAGGTGTGTGCCTATCTAGGCCATGCTTCTCAGTTGGCCTTGACCTTGGCAATATCTGGAGCTCAAAAAAAAAAAAAAAAAAAGAAGAAGTGGGCTGGTTCTAGTATATTAAATGCTTAAATAAAAAGTCCTTTCCTTTCCACACAGCAATGATATTCGCAGTAGTTTATCTCTTGTGGTGCAGAGTTGCATTGGGTTTTCTATGTTTTCCCACTCAGTTTTCCTTTTTATAAAAGAGAGTTAGAAGCTGCTGACTAGGATTAAGTTTATGGTCGGAGAACAGTATTTTAATCTCTTCCTAACTAATGGGCTTACTCAGAGATTCACTACCTGACTTTGAACTTAGCAGCATACTGTAACCAGCTATAATGCTCAGAGGCTTGCAGGAAAAAACAGGGCATACTTCAGATTGTACTCCACTTAGCTTAAACCCCCCAAAAGAAATAACAGCTATTTCATTATATGTGATCTATTATACCCTTTCAAATACAATAAAGTCATGACAAAATTGAAACATAATACTTGATCATAACTTTTAAATGTCTTTTATGTTTTTCCTTTGTCAGGAAAACTTGAAAACTATACTTTTAATTGAAATAATATTAGATGAATGAAATTGAATTCAGTATTAAAATATGACTGTTAGAAATTAAAAATAAAATGATTTAAAAATGTTGCCTGTGACTTATTTGATTTTTAAATTTTCTCCTAGATCCTGAGGAATTCTTGAATATCCTGTTTCATCATATTTTAAGGGTAGAACCATTGCTAAAAATAAGGTAACCTTTAAATTGTTCTAGAAGCACTGGAAAATAGACAATTCTCATTTCTATTGCCATTATTTAACAGATATGAATTCCAGAATGATTTCTTAATATTGTATTTGTTTAGGGCTCTTAATAGGCTAGTGGAATATCATGCAAGTTATTTTATTTATTGTCCTCACAGAGTACCATACTTTACTTGAAGAACAAATCCAATGTAAATTTGTACTATAATTTTTAACCCTAGTGATAAGTATTATTGAAAATCATTTTCCTATGAAACTGTGTAATATATATATATATTCATAATTTCAATTAACGAAGCTTTTAAGAAAAAAATCTCATTCTAAATTAAACACTTCAAGAATACTTTTTTTTGTGTGTGGACTCATCACTCAAAAAATTACTTTAATCTTAAATTAGCTTTCCTGTTCTTTGTTGTATAACTTCGCCTCCCCTCCCCACTCACCATGTTGAATGAAAGCCTTGTTTAATGTAGTAAAGTTCTTAACAAAATGTTCTAAATGACTCAACTTTCCAGATAGTTTGAATGTTTTCAGTCTAAACAGTGGACCTTTTTACATTTTAGCTTGGGTCTCTCTGTTAAGAATCTTAGTAATATCCTATATACTTTCCTAAAAGCTAAACATAGATAAGTACTCTTCCTCATTTCTGTGTCTTAAAGGGATGTTGTTTGATGCTATTGTTGAATTGATGGATGGGGACAAGAGAGGGCTGATGGAAGGTGCCATTACTATGGTTTGATATTGTTTGGGAAGTGCTGATGAATGAAATGAGACATAATACATAACCATCAAGAGCTCATATTATCTGCCCATAGATGATAATAGCTGTATGTACACCTAAAAATCGTAGAGAACTGCCTAAAAATTACTATAATTAGCAAAAGAATTCATAATTTGTCTATGTAAAATAACCATGGAAAAATCAATGGCATTTCCATATACCTTCAAGCAAATATGAAAAAATAATTTCATACTTCATGAAAGTATAAAATACCAAGAAATCAATTTTATTGAGATAAGATTTTTTTAAAGACTTATACAGAGCTAAAGGGGATTTGATTAATTAGTGAGAAAGATTGTGTTCTGGGTAGGACAATTAAATAATTTAAAATTATTACATAATTTGCACACAAGCAAGATCTTAACATACTTTAAGAAAGTGGTTTTAGAGTTCTGTACAAAATGGAAGTGGACAAAAATCTTGAAGAATGCTTTTAAAATAGATTTCTATTATAAGCTACGAAGGCAAAGCATAGACTAAAATAGTGTGTGATACTAGCATAAGATTAGAAATATGGATCAATGGGACCAAACAGAAAGCTCAGAAATAGAACTAACTGTATGTAGCATTTCAGTGTCTCATAAGTCAGCTTCTTGAACACAAATGAGAAAGGAAATATATGTTTAATACATGATGCAGGAAACCTAGCAGGCACTTTGGGAGAAGAAAGTCAATTCGGTTTTTCATTTTAAAGGGATAAATTTCAGATGCCTTGAACAGTTTGTTTTCATCCTTTATCGCCCCCTTTCTAGCCCACACACCTAAGGAATGTAATACATGCCCAGTAATAACATAGGTTGAATACTGCAGTGATCCTCAGAGTGGGTAAGGAGGGATCAAGGCATCTCTGAATATATCTCAGAGTCTGAATGCCTTGTGGGACTTGAAAGGGCCCTGGGAAGTTCTTACACCCCCTTGAACTGTACACTGTCCCCTTCACCTCTGCAAACAATCTCTTCATATTGAGAATCACCTTTTTATAGTTTATAAATATTCTAAGCTGGCTCTTTTTCAAGAGTAATTCTTCCCCTCCACTAGCATTTCTTTTTGACAGAGAGAGAAAGAGTCAGCAACAAATAGTCATGCAACAAATAGGATGAGCATCTAAAAAATGTAAAAAATTAAACAATCTAAAAGAGACTACATGATGTTCTTAAATGATTGAAGAGACAAAAGAACTAGATGCCAATGGAAGGTAAAACAGGTTTGATAAACAGAATCAAATAAAGACAGAATCTCCAGAAATAGAAACTATATCAGGATGTTACCTCATTGATGCAGTGTGCACAGCTGAAGAGAGAATTGCTCATTTGGAAGACAGAGCTGAAGAAAGTTCCCAGAATGTTGTCTAAAGGAATAAAGAGTTAGAAAACAAGAAAAAGAGGATAAGAGACATGGAAGATGGATTCTAACTAGAGTTCCACAAGGAGATACTAAAGAGAATAGGAAAAAGGCAATATTTCAACAGATAACAGCTGAAGAATTTTCAGAATTTTTGATAGACTGAAATTCTAATAATAACAATATTCAGAATTTCTGAGCAGGGAGAACCAGGACTAAATTACCATTCAAGACTTATTACAGGATATACTTTAGTAAAACAAAACTGAGTTTAGAATAAAGGAGTGGGATGCAAGAAACAGGGAAGAGCCAAGAAATTAGTAAATTGTCTTCTCTATCCTAATTTCTGCCTCCCTTCTCTCAGCATTTGCCACATAGTGCTTCCTTCAACCACCAGCCCTCCTCCCCTGCTGCCATGATTATGATTACAGTTACTGACCTCTACTACTTCCTGGTTTCTTAGTCTTCTCTCTCTCTCTCTCTCTCTCTCTCTCTCTCTCTCTCTCTCTCTCTCTCTCTCTCTCCCTAGAAACTGTTAATTTTCTATGCTTTTTGGCTTTCACAGAAAAATTCTGGTCTTTTGTCATAGTCATCAACAACTGATTAAAACACTGGTATAGCATAGCCTTCAGGTTTTTTGCTTATCCTCTGTATTTGTTGTGGGTCTCAAAAATTTCCTGTTTTGTTATCAATTAAGTTTTCTTTATTTGGGGACATGCGTCGCTTTGGAAAGCTGAAGATTTCGCAGGCTGGTTTCTGAATAGCGAGATTTCTTTTTTATAATGAAAATGATGTTAATATTTACCCCTAAAAATCTTAAAATCTAGAAATAGGTTTAGATGTAAACTGTCTGACTCTCTATCTAGAAATTCTGCTGAAAATTTAAATAGTAAACTTAAGGATTATTAGTCCTTCTGGTAGAGTTAGTCCTAAAGACTAATGACATGCTATAGTAAAATATTTAGAAGGAAAATGTTCAAAACAGAAGAGGAACACTGTGATTAGCATATGGTAGATGCTTAGTTGGTATGTGTTGAATAAACGAGCGACCATCAGACAGCATGCTTTAGCAGAAAGCATGGTAAGCGGTGGTTAGAGCCCCTGGGCTCTATACCCAGTTCTGCTTTTGACTTGCTGAGAAGTCATTCTCCTTCCTTAGATCTCAGCACCTTCATTTTGGAAATGAAAAGTTTGGTCTAGAAGGTCTGCTAAGGGTCTGTCATATCCGGGCATCTAAGAATTTATTTTCAAGCATTAAATGCAGTTTGCAGCTTTCTAGATTTGGGCAGTGAAGTTGCACTTGTGATTTAGCTTTTGGTTAGTTCTGTTCACATAGTGCTTCTTGATTGGGGTTACTGGAGTTAGAAAATTCTGTTATTTTTTCCTAATCACTAAGAGAACTTTACAATCTAAAAACTAAACAAAATAAATCATTTATAAGGTCTTGTACTTTAGCAAATTTAATTATTTTATCCAAATCATTTATTTCCCTCTGTTCTGACTATCCAAAGCTACACGATCAATTTCATGGTTTTCTGTTCTCAGATACTGCTGGGACATTTTGATTTAAGCATTTAATAAATAGATTATATGTGTTTTTTTTTCTCTGCATGTTTTTAGATCAGCAGGTCAAAAGGTACAAGATTGTTACTTCTATCAAATTTTTATGGAAAAAAATGAGAAGGTTGGAGTTCCCACAATTCAGCAGTTGTTAGAATGGTCATTTATTAACAGTAATCTGAAATTTGCAGAGGTTAGTGATACTTATGGTATTTTTTATGAAAGTCTGTGAGAGTCTTAAGACTTGGTAGATTCAATATCTCTTGATTTTATCTAGCTGAGAACAGTTTGAAACACAAACTGTTAAGAAACACAGATTTTTAAAAGTGTGCCGTGTTTCAACTTTGCCTTTATGGAAAATGTCTTAGAATTAACATTGAATTTTCTGGATTTTTGGTGCCAAAGAAAACACCAAGCTTATTTGCAGAACTTGAAAACTTTTCAGTAGTTTTTTTTTTGTTTTGTTTTTTGAGATGGAGTTTTGCTCTTGTTGCCCAGGCTGGAGTGCAATGGCACAATCTCAGCTCACCGCAACCTCTGGCTCCTGGGTTCAAGCGATTCTCCTGCCTCAGCCTCCTAAGTAGCTGGAATTACAGGCATATACCACCACTCCTGGCCACTTTTAGGCAGTTTAAAGTAAAAGGAAGATGTATGTTTTTAAAAATGCCATTTTACCCAAGCATATTATCCAAATATATCAAAATATAATGTTTACTTTTCCCTCTTCATCAAGATTCAAAATGTCAAACATTCATTTATATTTATTAATGACCAAGTGATAGAAATTATTCTTTTATTGTCTGAGAATCTTCATAATTTTAATAGTATATGCTTGTGGTTTATTTTTATTGTATTCATTTCTGAAGGCATGTTTTGGTAAAACCTTAACAGCCACAGTTATTTTTTTGTTGAAATATAATGAGTAGTGCCCTTCTGTGATGACATTTTCTGTATTATATTTGCAAAAACAATCTTTCCAAAATATTTAATAAGTATAAACCCAAATAAAATGCCATTATTTTCTTTGAGACCCAAGATGATTGAACTCTGTGACTTCCAGGTGCTGGTATGTCCCTGCGATCATGAGCCACCTGAAGACTTGTGGCTTGTTGGTGTCCTGTGTCCACAGCCTGTGGTCACATGTGGGTCCTGTTTTATAGGACACCAATATTAAGGCAGAACTTACTGTTCTGACAGCCATTACTATTTTGGTTTCATAAGGAAAAGTTTTTTTTTTTAACACTTTGATTCTAAAAATATCTGTCTTTTTTATAGGCACCATCATGTCTGATTATTCAGATGCCTCGATTTGGAAAAGACTTTAAACTATTTAAAAAAATTTTTCCTTCTCTGGAATTAAATATAACAGACTTACTTGAAGACAGTAAGTATGAGATTTTTAAAATTTGTTTTGTTGGTTTTATGGAAATTGTCATAATTCCCATCAGTTGTGGGTTAGAATCTAACTGGACACAGTGGTTCTCAAGGCAATCCAGTATCTGAAGAGCCTGGAAATATGAAACCAGTCATTTTATTTCTCAGAGTTTATTCTGAGAAAATAGAAATGAAAATACATATTTGATATGGAGATATACTTATTATCATATGATTAAGAAATTAGAAACACCTTGAATGTTAACCAGAGGAGAGTAGTTAAATGAGTGGGTGTATCTGTACAATTAAATTACTGCCATTAAAATTCATGGTTTTAAAGACCAATGTGTATGAAAATGGTCATGGTGTAATATTAAGTGGAAAGGTAAGTACGTTAATATGTTCTACAAAAGGGGCCATATATATATATACACACACACACATATATACTTATGTAAATATTCAGATGTGAAAGTATTAGAGAAAATTCACAATCAGATTAACAGTGGTTATCTCCTGCCAACTGAAATTGTAGATGTTTTTAGTTTCCTTCTTTATTACTTTCTTGTATCTTTTAATTTTCATCAATGGGCATTTGATAAGAAGGGAAAAACACTCTAGGTGACACTATTTAGAAAAATTATTTGGTCCAAGAAAACATTTTTAAAGATATTTCAAATACCAACTGAGAGCTTAAGTGGATGGAAGAAGAAGAGACTTTTTTGAAGCCATGAGCATTGTCCTTTTTAAAACCTAACTTTTCTTAGCCTTCTTAACTCCCCTCCCACTCCCCACATTTCAGCTCCCAGGCAGTGCCGGATATGTGGAGGGCTTGCAATGTACGAGTGTAGAGAATGCTATGATGATCCGGACATCTCAGCTGGAAAAATCAAGCAGTTTTGTAAAACCTGCAACACTCAAGTGAGTTTCCCTTCACTTAATGGATGAACTTTTGTTGAACAATAACTTATTTTTAGTTGAAAACAGATCGCTGGTTTTGGAAAGTTTTTAAAATCATAATTAACTTAAAAATTCACAATAAAACGGTATTGCTTTTGCCTCTTCTATTTACTTGAGAGCTGTTGGTGAAGTACTTGGTTGCTACAAATAGGGACGTATTTAATAAGAGTAAGGAAGTCAATTCACTGGACACATTGAGTTTCACTCATTAATGATGTTTTTTTTTTTTTTTTTTTTTTTTTTTTTTTTTTAAGCTGGAGTCTTGCTCTGATGCCCAGGCTGGACTGCAGTGGTGCAAGATCTTGGCTCACTGCAACCTTTGCCTTCCGGGTTCAAGCGATTCTCCTGCCTCAGCTTCCCGAGTAGCTGGGATTATAGGTGACTGCCACCATACCCGGCTAATTTTTGTATTTTTCATAGAGACGGGGTTTTACCATCTCAGCCAGGCTGGTCTTGAACTCCTGACCTCATAATCCACCCTCCTTAGCCTAATGACATTCTTTTCATGGTCCATTTTAGGTCCACCTTCATCCCAAGAGGCTGAATCATAAATATAACCCAGTGTCACTTCCCAAAGACTTACCTGACTGGGACTGGAGACACGGCTGCATCCCTTGCCAGAATATGGAGTTATTTGCTGTTCTCTGCATAGAAACGAGCCACTATGTTGCTTTTGTGAAGTATGGGAAGGACGACTCTGCCTGGCTCTTCTTTGACAGCATGGCCGATCGTGATGGTACTGAAAATGCCTTTCTTCTGTATGTGGCACAGGGTTCTGGTTTGTAGTGGGACAGTTCATAGTGAGAGCACCTGCTTTGAGTGATATGATATTTTCTGAGAAAATCCTTTCAGGATTATTTTGGTGACAGTCTTAAATCTTGGATTGCATTAACAACCTTGCTAGCTGAACTAAAGAATAATATGTTGTGCGTGTGTGTGTGTGCGTGTGTGTGTTTTCTTTTTTGAGATGAAGTCTTGCTCTGTCACCCAGGTTGGAGTGCAGTGGCATGATCTTGGCTCACTGCAGCCTCTGCCTCCCAGGTTCAAGCAATTCTCTCACCTCAGCCTCCCGAATAGCTGGGACTACAGGAACACGCCACCATGCTCGGCTAATTTTTGTAATTTTAGTAGAGATGGAGTTTTGTCATATTGCCCAGGCTGGCCTCAAACTCCTGAAAGTGATTCACCCTCCTTGGCCTCCCACAGTGCTGCGATTACAAGAGGAGCCCTGCGCCCAGCCTCATATTGCTGTGATTTTTTGACACGCGTATGCTCTTTTTTAAAAAAAAAAGAATCATAAAATCCTTACTTCAGGCCTGAGGGAACTTACTTCCAGCTTCGTTGTCTTCTTTCAGGCCCGTCTCATTTTTGTAGGTACCTTGGTAGCTGTTCATTGAGCACCATTCAGTCATTCTACCTAAATCCTGGCAAGATGAGAATTATTCCTGGCTTTCTCTTATTAAAGCTGAGGTTAAGGTGCCTGAGGTCATATAGTTTGTGTTTAACTCAGTCTTTCTGATCTCAGTGCTTATGTTTTTTGTACTAAACCATGTTGTCTTCCAATTGCCAAAAGCCGAGAGCAGAGGGAAACATCCTCTTTAAACAAGTAAAGCCTATTCCGTGTGTTGTACGTTTCTCCCTGAAGTGGGGAATAGGCTGCACTTGCCAGGCCATTTTCTAGGATGCTTAATCATGATGTAACTAATGTGTAATGAATACCAGGAACAATCGTGGGCTTCAGGTAAGAAACGGTTGTTAAAGCAGCCCTACCTCGACCCATAAGGAGTTTGCAGGTTAAGACCAGGCCTAGGCAAGGTTGCGAGGTGTGCCTATCATGTTCCGCCATTCGTACACCCTGTTTCTCCTTTAGCTGTGCTCTCAGGTCCATCTCCCGTGGTCTTCTGGTGCAGCCTTCCAGTAGCCTCAGACATTCCCTGTGACAGCCTCTTGAACAGAGGCCTAGGCCCCAGACCAGGAGCTCTCCACCTTTTCAGTTCTCTGATGCTTGAGGGATACATCCCAGCCCCATCTAATGTGCCCACAACCCAGTTAGTGTTTGCATTGAACAGCGTAACACAACAGCAGAGGTTTGGAAAAGCTACTCAGCTAACCCAGAGGAGCCTTTCCTGGAATCTCTGAAGCCACACCCCAGATCACCTTCATCGGGGACTAACGACGTGGCTAACAAACTGTTAGAGTTGTGTAGGGATAGTGTTTAAAATGTAGGGAGCTATACTAGCGTTCATTTTACTAGATCTGTTCCAAGTTGGACAGTCTCATCGTGAAGTGTGCTGGTGGCCTGTGACTGGGAGGAAATGAAAGGTGAAGAACAGTGTTGTCTACCAATGTATTGATAATATGATTTCCTGAGTGACTACAGAGAGAAGCCTGGAACGTAGGTTTGGGGCTTATCTCAGAATGTGTGTCCTTTTACCAGTTTTATTCACTGTTGGCTCCAGAATTCTTTCAGAAACCAAGAAAAGAGAGTACATCAATAGTTAAAGGAAGCTTTCACTTCCAGAAATTAGAAGTAAAATAGAGGCTTTTGGAGCCTGAAATTAGCCTTTTTGAAACGATAGGATTGTAAAATCATTGGCAAAAGAGTTTAGAACTTGACTGCCCTAAAAAGAGTTCTTTGCACCATAGGTGGTCAGAATGGCTTCAACATTCCTCAAGTCACCCCATGCCCAGAAGTAGGAGAGTACCTGAAGATGTCTCTGGAAGACCTGCATTCTTTGGACTCCAGAAGAATCCAAGGCTGTGCACGAAGACTGCTTTGTGATGCGTATATGTGCATGTACCAGAGTCCAACAATGAGTTTGTACAAATAACTGGGGTCATCAGGAGAGGTGAAGAAACTGAAGGCAGTCTTAACGTTGGATCTTATTTGAGCTGGCAGTCTGTTCCACGTCCATTGCCGGCAATGGATGTCTCTGTGGTGATGATCCTTCAGAAAAGGATGCCTGTGTTTAAAAACAAATTGCTTTTGTGTTCCTGAAGTATTTCATAAGAAGCATTTTGCACTCTAGAAAGTATGTTTGTGTTGGTTTTTTAAGAAGTCTAAACGAAGTTATTAATACCTGAAGCTTTAAGTTAAGTGCATTGATCATATGATATTTTTGGAAGCATACAATTTTAATTGTGAAAGTTTAAAGCCTCTTTTAGTCCATTGAGAATGTAAATAAATGTGTCTTCTTTATGGACCAAGGATATGAAATCATTTTTCCTTTGTAGCTAACGGTTGCCTTGAGGAAGAAATAATTTGGTTTTATTAAGAATCTACTCTCAAGCCAGTTATTAAAGGTGTACTGAGTTTGATTTGTTAATCCTTTCTATATACTGCTGATCCTTGCATGTCTACAATCTGCTCAGTTTTTCTGTGTTTCTGCAATAGTGGTCAGAAAAATACTTAAATTCCCTTAATGCTGTTGTTTTCTATTTGTTCTGGTTTTGAGATAAATGAGTGATTCTGTCCCCAAATGTCCATTTTTCAAGTGATTTTTCTGGAGGATTAGGGTATTCAGCAGTTGAAGCTCTTCATTCATAGTAGTTACTATCAGCGAACAGGTTTTTTTTTTTAAGGCTTTTAACTATTAATATTTTATGGAATGGGGCATAGTAAATTGATAAAAGAACTAGAGTGATAAGTAAATAAGATAGTCCTATACAAACATACAGTCGCTAAGAAAATGAATTTGGCATATAGAATTACTCTTTAAAATTTCCCTGAAGAGATGGATATTTAAACTTCTGTTATTTTAGACAAGATTGTCCAGAACTTAGGTTCGATCTGTCAGCCAGTAATCCCATTACATTCAGTGTGATGTCACTTGAGATAATGAATCAGATATGTCATCGAAATGTTAGCAGCAGCTTCATCCTCCTTCTGATTAAGTGGCAATGGGATGTTTTGTTTAATAATAGCCATAGTGTGTGTAGACCACAGTGGATGTTGTAGACCAGGACCGTAGATTATACATGTCCTTGCTGTGGGATGTGCATTCTCTCAGTGTTGTTTTGTAGTATCTGTTTTGTAGTATCTCTAAGTGTCGTTTTGTCTTTCTGGAATGACTTTCTAACTGTGCAGAAAGGCAGAAAAGTTGTCATATGTGTATGACATATGACTTTGTAAAATAATGTGAAAAAAAGTGGAAAGAATCTTTACATACCCTGCAGTTACTTTTTTAAAGGCACTTTTATTCTTCAGTTTTATCATTCCATTTTGCAAATATCTACTAGCTTTATAAACTACAATAAGGTACAAAAACTCATCTTGTAATTTTTTCATTTTTGAAATGAAAAAGTACATATATTTTGCACAAGGTTTTGTACTGCTAAGTGCTTGGTTGGGGTGGTGAGATGATGATTAGATCAGGGGTGAGGCTGAGGGACTCCGGGTTTAGGGCTAGTCCTGCCTCCATCTCCCTTGGGTAAAATGAAGGGTGTGGGGTATAATTCACATAAGGCCTTTTCTAGCTCTGACCACCCAGAAGTCCAGTCACGCTGTAATAAATATGTGTTGAATGAAGAAATGGATGAATGAGCTTGTCAATGTGATTTTTAAAAACTTGTCTACCTGGAGGAATGATTAGGAATCTAAATGGGGCCAGCCCTCGACATCTGCAGGTTTCTCATCCATGGATTCAACCAACTGCAAATGGAAAATATTACTTAAAAAAAAGGAGGGTTGCATCTCTATTGAACATGTACAGATTTTTTTCTTGTCATTATTCTCTGAACAATACAAGAACTCTTTACGTAGCATATACATTTATTAGGTATTATAAGTAATGTAGAGATGATTTCATTAAAATATACAGGAGGATGTGTCAATTATATGCAAATTTTGTTCCATTTCATATAAGGGACTTGAGCATCTTCAGATGTTGGTATCTGCAGGGATCCTTGAACCAAAACCCTTCAGATACTGAGGGCTGGCTTGGTAAGACTGGATTTAACAGTTAAAATTTAAAAAAGGAGAAACAAGACAGTTCCTTTTCCGTAGAAATTAAAATGCAAGGTGAGGAATCTCTGCTACCCAGGCTGTCATGGTAGAGGACTTGAAGAAAACCTGTTTGGATGTACACCTGGTTTCAAAACTCAGGTGTGGGGACTGTCTTAAATGGGAGGGCCTCATCCGTAAATGATTTCTGATGACGTCTTCTTCAGGTGGAGCTTGATGTCCTTTTAATGTTACTTGGGGAGGGAGTTCTTATCAAGGGATGCCAAGGCCAGCTCTGGTGGTTCCTGGGGAGGCTGGGTTCTTCCCTGCTTCTGCGTGTCGTGGGGCAGCAGGAAGGTTTCTCCCTCACGTGTCTGTCCTGGCTCCTTCTGGGTAGCCCCTCCTGTTCTGCACTTGACAAATCAGAGCCTGATTTGTCAAGAGGGGCATAGTTTGGGCTGGGCTGCATGGTGCGAGGGCCAGTGTGCCTGCTGGCTATTTAATTTTTGGCCTTAGGTTTTCTTTAATATTTTCCTGTTGGCTTCTTAAAGGTTTTGGTTATCTTTTTTTTCCTTATCTACAATCAAGATGACAATGTAATCAAATCATCTCATTTATAACATGGTTCATGATTCATAACTATGAGTAGAAAATATGTCATGTTCCCCAACTCCAGATAAATGTGTGTGTGTGTGTTTGTGTGTGTGTATGTGTGAGAGGGAGAGAATGGGGAAGGAGAGCAATGTTATTATATATAGAGAGGCTAAATGTGTTCCATCCCTCACTATCAGCTTTATAAAGGAGTTTGACTCCATCCACGAAAGAATGTTTTGTAAGACTAGGAAAACACATTGAAAACTAGGAAAAACTGCAAGAAAAATCAACTTACTATGTCGTTCCCATTGTTAAGGATTTTTTCCTTAGGATAATTCAGGATTTTAAAAAATTTATATTTGTAAAACGGCTGTAAATAAATGGCCAAGTTCTTCCTATCCTTAGGATTCTTTTTTTTTTTTTTTCTCACAGATTTTGAGAACAAGGGGAAGACCATTTATGGAAGATTAAGATTCCATAAATCTTATAGAACTGTACTGTTGCCCAAATTCTTGCTTGTTTGAATATGGCATATTCATAGACTCAGGATTCATTACCCTCTATAGCTGGATCTTGAAAATTACCCAGCCAGATAATTTCGCATCTGCTTGGATGATTGTAGACCGGGATGTGAATGGAGGATAAAGTATTAGGCCTTCGCTGAGTAACTACCGACCAAGAAGCATTTATCAGACACTTACTAGGTGCCTAGGATTGTATCAGAGGGAACATGAGACGGGTCCCTGCCCTACCTAGTTTTAATGACAGAATATCTATTAAAGGGTGCTTAGCTGAAGGGTACGGGTGACAGGTCTAGGGGAAGCTCTGGGAGGTGGTGTGGTGTGACAGAAAAAGGAGCAGACTGGGGCCAAGAGACCCGCGTTCTAGCCCTGTTCCTGTCACTTGCTTTGTATGCTTAGAAAACAGGTTGGCCTCTTGGGCTTTAGTTTCCTCCTCTACATAATGAGAGGGTTAGACTATTGAATTTTGTAGGAAAGAAATATAAATTCCTGGGTCCTAGGCCATGCCTACTGAATCCAATTGTTCTTGAAGAGGCCTAGGAGATCTGTGAGGGGAGGTTCCCCAGGGGAATCCGGTGACCAGCCAGGAGTGAAATCTGCTAACTGGAAGATCGCAAAGTTTCCTTCACTTTTTGTGATTTTGTGATCATGTAATGTTACTGTATTACTTATGTCAATGTGGGTACTTGGATGTTTATCATACTGTTTCTCTGTGTTTACATATTAATTTATGTAAGAAATGCATTTTAGTCTATGTTCCTCAACCTGCTGTTTCCTACAGGTGTTAGTAGTCGTTGAATACAAGTAAGACTTAAGAGATATTTGATGTTATTTACCTGGACATCTTCTTTCCTTTTATTTATTTAGAGGAAATTGAGATTCTAGGAGCCAAAAAAAAGTAAAAAAGAAAAAAAGAAAAGAAAACAAAATTCTTAGGCAAAGTTAAAGAAAAGAAATTACATTCTTTCTTACTATTTGCTACTTTATAATGAAAATTTTTAAATTATATGGGAAGATTTTTCTCTGGGATAACAAATCCTTGTCAGAAAGAAAGAGGTCTTTTTAAAGTAATTAAGGCCTGTAATTTAAAATAATGCCTTTCTCTAGAGGTTGGTGATGTGAATAACACATCCACAATTCTCTATTAATGAAGATAATATTTGAATTTCCCAAAGCAGGTGATGAGTTGGGGAGGAGAAAGAGATGTTAAAATGAAAACTCATGTGCAAAAGAGGAGGTGGAGGAAGAAGTAATATAAACTCCTTAAAGCAGATATGCACGGGGCCATATGAAGGCCAGGATTCTGTGGGTGTCAGGGGATTGCCCCTCTTGACAGAAACTGGGGTTTTCGACCGAGGCTTCCTTCAGGGAGTCTTGCCTTGCACTTCTCTGACCTTTCAGACCTCCTTTTGGGTAGAAGAGATGGGAGGAGGGGAGAAAGACTGTTCAACTGATTCTAAATCCTGGAGCAGCTGAAGGCTCTCTCGGGTCACAACGCAGTGCTAAAACATTAACCAGCAAGTATGGCCAAGGATAGTGAAAACATGGGAAAGAAAGACAAGACCTTCCTCCTCCCTGATCATAGCATCCATCAGTGTCTGTAGCCAGCTTACTCAAGAGCCCCGTTTGATTTCCTGGCCCTTTGCCTTGGCAGTGATGACATTTTTATTTCACTGTATTTTAAAGTCTTCATTTATTTTTATAACATGGGTTAAGGAGAAGGGCCACTAATGGAGGGAACTGTCCTTTCAAGAACCACAGCTTCCGATATAATAAGTACTTTACAAAACTGTCCACTTTAACTTAAAAAAATTCTAGTGGGATTATACTGGAGACTCAACTACCCTTGGTTTTAGTTACTAAAATGGCCTAGTACTGTGTAATTCTAATTTTAGGAAGTCTTAGCATCGGATCATAAACATTCATTAAAAGAACTCACATCCCATTTGAAACTTCCCAGGGGAGTCGGGATTCTTAGTAGATTGGTAGAAAGGGGCTCATTTTATACTGTATTTCCCACTTCTGGTATCTTGTTCAGCATTTTTTATTGTTATTTTTTTGTCTGCAGAACATCCTATATTTATGACAACATTCTTTAAGAAGGACACCATGTAGAACATCCCTTACTATCAGCTTGCTCTGATTTAGCCTTAATTTTGTTAAATTTTTTAGAGATGAATGAAGTGCTGCTGTGGAAAGAAATGTACATATACTATTTCTGTATCATTAAAAATTACATTTTTATGGTTCCTTTTTCTTGGATTTCTTTGGGGGAAGGGTTTTGGGTTATGGGAAGCCTGGCGTTGAGTTTCTACACTTTGATGAGTGTTTGTGGTAAGATTTCTTTGAGAAAATGCTATACCTGGGCACATCTCTGTTTCTTGATCCAGCCTCTGTCACCATTACAATTGCTTTAGAAAACCTCACACACCCTGTTCTGGGAGATATGCCAGTGTATGACGCTGTGTGGCTTCTTGACCTAGCCTAGTATTTCCAACCTCTGATGCTTGTTAAAGCTCAGCTGCTCCAGCCTCCGAGCCACTCCAACCAGAAGTTGTCCCCTGCTTCATTCCATCATCTATAAACATGAACCCAACACTGTTGATTAAGGAGTAGTGTGTCCCATTCTTTTTTTTTTTTTTTTGAGATGGAGTCTCGCTCTGTCACCCTGACTGGAGTGCAGTGGTGTGACCTTGGCTCACTGCAACCTACATTTCCTGGGTTCTAGCGATTCTCCTGCCTCAGCCTCCTGAGTAGCTGGACTTGCAGGCATGCGCCACCACACCTGGCTAATTTTGTGTGTGTTTTTAGTACAGAGAGGGTTTCACCATGTTGACCAGGCTGGTCTGGAACTTCTGACCCCAAGTGATCTGCTTGCCTGGGCCTCTGAAAGTGCTGAGATTACAGGGGTAAGTCACTACGCCCGACCAGTAGTGTGTCCCATTCTACCACCGCTGCCACCGAGCCAGTTCAATATTTCACTTTTCTGTAATAACCAGAGGAATGGCTGCATGACGTTCCATGGACTGAAGCTCCTACTTTGGTCTTCTTTTAGGTAACAGATAAACCTTCCTTGGAAATTCTTTGGAGTTTAAGTTTGTTTAAGTCACCTATTGTGCCAAGATAGGAAAGCTAGACTGGTCTGAGTTGGTAATACTGGTATTAACAATACGTTGAAAAACATTTTTGTTTCAGAACCCCATGGGTGGGTATACATGCTGATATCCAAACAATGTCATTCTGACATCACTGATCTTCCTTGTCAGATTCCAGGGTAGGCACACATTTTCACAGTCCCCACTCTGTGACTCTGTTTGGGTCTGTTACTGTGATGCTGACAGCATGTATACTTGTGCCCATCTGCGGAGGACAGTTAAGTGAAAACTAGTCTTTGTCAGAAGAAAGCTGGCCTGGAGGAAGGAGGAGCCACTGACGCCCCTCCCACAAGCCCCTTTCCTTGACTTCCTGAGGCATATTCTTCATCATCACCTGAAGGATGTGTGTGCACTGCCTTCGAGCAGCAGCACTTGATGCAATCCTGGTTGCATGTCAAATTCACACGGAAATTTTAAAGATGCCAACACCTGTGCACACCCCAGACCTACTGGAATCTCTGAAGATGGGGCCAGGCAGTTGGTCCTTGGCAAAGTTCTTTATATCCATCCGTTGTGCAGCCAGGACTGGGAATCAGTTGTCAGGCTGAATGGAGATTTCTGAGGGAGACGAACTCAACTCGGCATTCCCTGGTGTAACAGTTTGCCCTGGAAAAAGACAAGAGGGTTGTGGATATGAACAAGCTCCTCAGGGGAAGTAGGAAATTTGTTAGAAAGCTACCAGCTCAATCCCTTGAGGAGGAACCTAGGGAATATGTGGGGAATGTGTTCCAGAGGCAGGAGAGAAAATAAGATGAAAATTTCCCTATTTGTGAAGAGGACTTAAAGATATCCTTAGAAGGGCACGATGAAGATGCTGTTCTCTTTGTTTCAGAAATATTTCAGAGATAAGCCTCAAATGTATATATAAAAAAGAGAAAACTCATCAGGCAGATTAGGGAAGAAAGCAGGCAGGTGAGTTCTTGGGGTAGGGCTGTTTTGGGGCAAGCTTTCAAGCCTCTCTTTGCACCGAACTGTGGGCAGTCAGGTCCCTGTGAGCTGCCGGCTTCCGTAGACCGTTTGAATGCTGATTTTGTTGGAAAGCAGGTTGTTTGTGAGGTCTAAATAGAGTAATTGGGTGAGTGAAGACTGAAATGGGCATGTAAGAAAAGTGTGATTCACCCAGCAGACTGAACCTCATCACAAAAGCTCGAAGGAGATTGGCAAGTTGCACCCACTCTTTTGACTGTACCACTTTGCTAGGAGCTAATGAAAACCTTTAAATTCCGTATATGAAATCACCTTACAAATAACACACAAATCTGTTTTAACACCCAGTATGGCCTTTCCCAAAGTAAGTAGTTGGAAGTTACGCTAGGGTCTGAAGAGTTAGCGAGGAAGTTGACTGTGCCGGAATTGACTTCCTGAGCCCCTCTCCTCAAGCCCTCCCCAGCTTTAGCCAATTTTGGAAGTGACCCCTCACGCCTTGCCTTGCAGGTTCCGTTTGGTGGCAGGCAGGATGCAGTAGCCAGTAATAAATGCAGTCAGGCTTCAGGCCTTCTCATTGGCTCCAGAGAGGCAAGGCTGCTCCGGATTGCTGCACGGTGGGGCGATGGCATTGGAATATATTGTATTTTAAACAAATGTGTGTTTTGCTGGGCCTGGCCATCTCTGCAAACTTTAGACTGTTTTGTTCCGATGTATTTCTAAATGGTGCCCTGTAGGTCACTCGCTGGGCGTGGGATGGGCTGCTGTGGGTTGGAAGGACTAAGTGTAGTGTCAAGTATCTGTTCAGAGGTCACCTTCCTGAAGAGGCCTTCACAGACCGCATGAGCCAGGGCTGTGCTGGCCAATGTTTAACAACCAGCTCTTGCAGGCTGAGGGGCAACCCCGTTTGTAGCCTCTGCTGATTTGGTGGTATAAATACTCCCACCACTGCCAATTGTAGGCTACCAAAATGATACCTTTGAAGGAACGAGGGAAGAGTTATATAGTAGAATTAATATAAGTACATAACATTTCCACCATACAGATATGATAGACATAAATACCTGTGCACAAACCACAAAGGCAAACTGCAGCCCAGGAACCAAACCATCCCAGCACCTGATTTTGGGAATCACATTTGACTGGAACACAATCATGACCATTTAGCTAAGTGCAGGTTGAATATCCCTTATCTGAAATGTTTGGGACTAGAAGTGTTTCAGGTTTCCGATGTCTTTGGATTTGGGAATATTTGCAGTACTGAGGGAGCACCCCTAATTCAGAAATCCGAAATCCAAAACGCTCCAATGAGCATTTCCTTTGAGGGTCACACTGGTGCTCAAGATGTTTTGGATTTTGGAGGATTTCAGATGTTTGGATTAGGGAGCATTTCAGATTAGAGATGCTCAGTCTGTGTTATCAATGCTTTTGCACTGTAGTGGCTGAGGCAAATAGTTTTGACTGAACCCTTAAGGCTGAAACAGTCATTAGATGACCCTTTCCAGAAGCAGTTTGCTTACCCTTGAAATAGAAAATGGTAAAATGTAAAATAAAAAGGAAGTAATGAGTTTTGAGTATTTGTTACCTTTGTTTTAAATATAATTTCAGTGTAAGTTGATGCGATTTAACTTCAGTAATAGATCTACTCAAGGACTGATGAACAAAATTTCTGAAAATGTAACAATGGGTTCTCATGAGCCGTGGGTGCCAGCTGCAATTTACTTCGCCATCATCTCAAATGCACGGACTATAGGTAGTTATAGACTCCGGCATGCTTCATTTTCTCCACAGCACCGACCCCCGGCCGCAGGGCTTACTGTGGGCTCCTTGCTCTAGAGGCAGGGTTTCCCCTGATCCCTTCAGTCGTCTTTCCTTACCACCTTGATCAGTGCCTGGCACAAACCTCCCGCCACAGCCTTCTGAGTAGTTGGGATTGCAGGTGCAGGCCACCACGCCCAGGAAGCTTTCTATATTCTTGTAGAGAGGGGGCTCTCACCATGTCGTCCAGGCTGTACAGCCTTTTATTCGTAGAAGCCCCACTCTCTATCGCCAGTGTGATCAGAATTAGATCACTGTCCACATGCCTTTTGAGCAAGCACAAGACGTCTCAGTCTCCAGTTCCTCACATAATGCTTCCTCTCAGAAGTGGAGACATCGTAGAACTTCCCTCCTAGGGCTTTTACGAACTTTGAATGAAACCATGCACGAAAAGTGCTTATCACAGTGCCTGGCACCCGTAGCCCCTCAGTAGACAGCAGCCACCAGGGAGGGGCAGCAGCACGAGCAGCATTAGTACTAACATCATGAAAGCGAACTTGAGAGACAGGTTGCAAGTCTAATCAGCGTCTCTTTCCGCCTCTCGTCTCCCTCCACGATCCTATTTGAAGGCCCACTCTTGAGTCTTAGATGGTTTTGTGAGATTTGAGATTTGTTCTCAGGCATCTTGTCCTCCTGAGTGCAGCAGCGCCATCTTGTGGTCATTACGGGTTACGGCGAGGTCCTAGATCTCAGCTCCTGAACTCGGAGCCAGACCCCAGGCTCGGGAGGCAGCAGGGATTTTTGAAAGCCAACGTGCAGTCGGGGCTACGCACCAGATGACACACTACATCCAAGAGGGTTTAAGTTTCCTCTGCGTCATTTCGGGACAGCTGCTTAACGTTGGCCATTTCTGTTCGCGGCTGTCCTCTCTGCATCTGCCGCTCCCTGCGTCTCGAGCTTTCGGGCACCGTCTACAAATGGAGTTTAAAATGAGCTAGCGCCATCTACTGGGCGAATGCCGGAAGGTCGGTTGTGAGGTCCCGGAATCTGCAAAGGAATGAATGAATTGCAAATCTGGCTTTAAGCGGGGAAAGTAGGTACGTAATAGGATTCTGATGTCACCTCCATTTATTGGCGATCCTTTCTCGGTGTAAGCCTCATATCGACTGTGCTAAGTACAGCTTATTTTGTCAGGATCGCAATAGGAAAATCAACCGCACTGTCTTCAGTATTTCCCAAAGAGCGGTCTTTGGACTAACCTGCATCGGAGTCATCTAGGGAGCTTTAAGAACGCAGGTTCTGGCTGGGCGTGGTGGCTCTCGCCTGTAATTTCAGCACTTTGGGAGGCTGAGACCAGCCTGGGGCAACACAGCGAGACCTTGTCTCTACAAAAAATAATTATAATAAAAATTA